CCGGTGAGATTTGAACAGCCGAACTGCAGAAGTCAGCTGAAGTAGCCTGCAGTGCTGCATTTAACCACTGCGCCACCTTGGCTCTATATAAAAGTTTTTTTTGCACACATTCCAGAGAGAATGGAAGAATGCCTTCAGTATGCAACTTCAGAAGTTACACTGAGTAGAGACATGCAATCAGATCAGACCCAAGATAGTATATCTGATTCTTACTCTACATGTCTCTGACTATTTTTTTTTTAAAGCCACGGTTTAAAAAAAAAACATGATGGATACCAGCTGGAAGTGAAATTATATATAACTATCTGAATTGACTCCATTTAAAAAATTATAAAAAGCAGCAGCTTAACTTTGTAAAAGGCAAATTCAAACTCTTTAAAAGCGCTAATAATCTAAAGGGTTTGAGAAGTCATTAACTATCAGTTAATTGGCTCTGTTTTCGAGAGGAAATTCTCCTTATTAGTCTACTGTACCTACAATGTCTAGCAGCACCTTAACAATTAAAAAGTTTAAGATATACTTTTGTGGATGGCTGTCTAGGGGTAAATGTTCAGCATTTTGATTGCTAAAGAACAAAAATTATAATAAAAAATATAAGCCCAAGGGAAGGAAGGATTAAAAATTTAAAAAGAGACCAATCAAATTATGTTATTTTTTGGTGACAAGTCCACAAATAAACAGAACTTTCAGTGGAACATAAAGGTGATATGTGGCACTTTGATTCACACAAATGTCTGTAAGTATCTATCCCCCTAATACATAAGAAACGGGGGGGGGGTATTTCAAGCATTCTTAGTCAATGTGGTCATATTTTATTTGCACCTACCTCTGTCTTCGATAGTTTCTTACAAGAGAAAGGAAGAGAGACAAAGAATGAGTTATCACGTGGCATTTGCTTTCACTTTATTTAGCGTTTTGAAGAAATATTTGGATCCAATAAACTCTGAGAAGAAGGAGGCAATCTTACATTTTCCTTCATACGATAGTATCTTACACCATTAATCACCCTTTCCCTCCCCTCATGTGTACACCAAAAAAAATTCTTTAGAAATTTATGAGAAGTGCAGGAACAAGATGAGAATTTATGTAGAAAGTTGTTGTTTGACATCAGATCTCACTCTTATAAGCAATTCTAAGGATAGAATCACAATATATTTAAAAAATGCTAGTAGATATTAATGATTTTAGATTTTTGAATCTAATGTTATTATATTTAAAACAATATGCTGCTGCCATGAAAAACTAGGAGACACATTTTTTTATGTTTGACAAGTGCATGCGAAGGACTCTCTGTTTTATATTCAACAACATTTTTGGTGAAAATTTCCAAGTACTAAGAAAATGAATGCATACAATTTCATTTTTCCTAAATATAAAGAAATCACAGTTCTCTTCTGGTACCTATCAAGAGATGTTTAGCGTGAAAAGTGGAATTCAGAAACCTTGAATGCAAGAAACCTGTTTATTGAAACGAAAGATTCATGCGCCATGATTGTTATTTATGATCACTAGAAATCTGGAACTCTAGTCAATTGTTCTGATATCCACGGTGACAAAAAATACTTCTTGGAAAGCAGAACTTCAACTAAAACTCTACCAATAACTGATATTTCAGAGGCACATGATTTGTGAAAAGGCAAAGTCCCTTCATTCAGACCGACTTGCAAGAAGCAACAGCAAATGTGATGTATATATGTGATATAAGTTAAGAAGAATGAGTGTGGCATCCTAGAGTGGCAATTGTTTGTGCTGTCAGCTCCTTCGCAGCTTCCTCTAGAAAGCCAGCTGTAGATGTTTGCCCTCAAGTGGACCAACGGGGAAGCGCTTGATGGATTTGGGGCAAAGTGCCAGGATTGTAGACAGGGTGGAAAAGAGGAGCGCATGGGAGGGGGGGAAGAGAGAGGGCAGGGATGGCGGCCATGGGAGTAGGGGGAAGAAAGGCCCCTCTCAATGGCTCCCTGTCAGACAAATGCTTCAGGGCAAAGTGCCAGGATTGTAGACAAGACAGGAAAGAGGAGTGCATGGGAGGGGGAAGGGAGGGGGCAGGGATGATGGGCATGGGAGTAGACAGGCCTATCTTCCCCCTTCTCACATATATACCTCACATTTTTTAGATGATATGATTCTTATGCTTTCAGAAAATTAAAATGCTAGCTATGCTTAGCAGTTCTGCATTTATCAACCCTTTTTTCTTTTAGTATCTTAAACCTTCAGAATTGGGCCCTAATAATTTGCTGGAAAGTCATTTGTCAATTGAATTATTTTCTCTCTTTCTCTCATCTTCATCTCTATAATCCACTGCAGCAAATTCTGTTAATTACACATTATATAAAGGGGGCTTTGTGCCCTTTTTGAAACTATTGTAAATCAGCTTCAGTGGCTAACATCAAGAAATGAGGTTTTTTTTAACATTTTCTGCATTATTTTCAAAATTGTATAGCAGTTTTAATATTATATACAGAATTTAAAATACAACGAACTTTGTGCTTCTGCATCCAATGAGACAGATTTCTATACTTTTAAAATTAAGAGCATATCAGTTCTTTAATTCTCCACTAATATTTTCTTCGTTGGATCTATTTAAAAATATATGTTTGAAAATGAAGTGTTTTTTAAAATTTATTCACAAAGTATTCTATTATATTCTATTCTACTCTACTGGACTTTAAATCTAATTAAGTAATATATTATTATATTTCCTGCTTTCTTACTGTTTTTTCTAACTGATGAAACCAATGGGTTTTGCTCTTTTCTTTACTCTTTGTTAACACATGTTACCAACCCTTAGCTTATTTCTTAGCTTACATTTTTTTCTCTATATATAAATTACTTACCTGTAACCCCATGCTGTTATTCCCATAATAAGAGCCAACACTAAAATTGTACCAGCAATAGCACCAATAATAATATTTGTGCTAGTGACACCTAGATTAAAACAAAAACAAGAATTTAATGCATTACTATTGGGGAAACCCACTTAAAATTAGACACATCTTTTTTTCTTTTAATGTAAAATTTTGAGGGGGGGGAATTCTGGGACACCTAAGTGAACAGTGAGCTACAGAGGATTCACGCTGACGAGGATCAAAAATAGTTATGGGTTGTTATTCTTTCTAATTCTATATGTAAGAATGTAAGTGAGACTATATTTGATCAAGACCAAAATTTGATGGAGAACTCTTTCCTTAAAATGCTAACTGAAGAATCAGTATCCTTATTTCAGTACAGATCATGTTCAAGGCATTTCACATGAATAGTAACATTGCCACAAAATATATATAACACACCTGAATTGTGCAAGCTTCCATCAATAATTGGTTTCATGAGACGCTTGCTGCAATCTACACCTGTCCATAACTGCTCACAGACACACTGCATTTCATTACTGCAAACCTACAAAGGATGCAATTCAAATTTAAAACACAAAAATCCTAATATATGTTTCCTGGGAATCTAAGAAACTACAGTATTGAATTTTAAACAACATATTATAATCTCCCATATTTAATTAGTTGACCATGGATGGATAAGCTATAATGCATGTTGTTTGTTTACATCCCGTTTTTATTATTTTTATAAATGATTCAAGGAGGCAAACATACCTAATACTTAAATGTCTATAGAGATTCTGAAGTCATCCAGGTCATGGTTGTCCCAAAGGTGCTTTTTCAAGAGGCAACTGGGCTTTCTGATTTTTCTTAGAAGACATTTCGCTTCTCATCCAAGAAGTTTCTTAAGATACCTAATACTTCTTCCTCCTATCTTCCCCACCATAGTCCTGTGAGTAAACTGACTAGCCCAAAGGCACCAAACTGGCTTTTATGCCTAAAGCAGGATTAGAACTTAAGGTCTCCCAGTTCTAGCTTGATGCCTTAACAATTAAACCAAACTGACTCATGGTCCTCATGTGGCCTTCACTCCCATTATGGGAATCAATAGAGCTTCTTCAGGATTCTCCATTACATTTTGGTGGAAAGTTTTCAAGACTTTGGTCTTTAATATAAAGTTTTCTTTATATTTAAAACCCAGAAAATCTATTTTTTTCAGCTTCCACTATTTTTTTTTTAAATCATTCCTGCTTATGACTATGTAATGGCTCCTATCACTCTCAGATGTTGAAAATGGTAAGTATTTTGAAAGTAATGGCCTCAACCAAAAACACTAACCACTTCTAAACTGTTGATCTTATTAGTTTAACAGGCAAACTATTTGTCAGGCCTGCAGCTGGTTCCTTTTGGGATCTTTGGCCTGCCACACGAATATTCTATTCTACTATGCTGTTTCATTAGTGGGGAATTGAGAGGAGGAATAGTAAGGAGTAGAATGTGATGTTGTCAAAATAAAATTCCTTTGTCATCCTTTGTCTCTACATCCCTGCACCTCACCGGAACTGGATTGCAGTGGAAGATTGGGCCATGTGATGGAGTTCTGAATGTGGGGGCAGGATCTTGAACTTTCAACTGGGTGGAGAAAACCGGGAAGCTTTCAGATTCTGGTTTTCCCAGATGTGCCAACATGACTCTCTTAATAAATTGGAACTTTGAGCAATACCTTGCCTTGGACTCCGATTTAATTTTGGATGTTATTTGGAACCCTGACATTAACCCGAATCTGAAAGCCTGGCACTATTATTTTAAGAGAAGGGGAGAGAAGGGAATATAAACTAGTGGCACTGAATAACATATGTAAGGATTTGGGGGGAAAGTGTTTATGGGGGCACAGTTATTTTCTTCTGGGCAATACAAAAATTAATATGCTGAAATTATCACTCCCTATAAGAGACACTCTTGATCAGTCAGAAATAAACTTTCTCAAAGGAACATGCATGCATGGAAATACAATTACGCACTTTTTCACATCTTCATTTGAAAGCTCCCCTTTCGTTTTTAGAACTACTGCCTGAAACCGAATTGTTAATAGATGTCTCCCAGGTTTACTCCATTTATTTTGGAATGTCATTAAAGGCATTTGTCTACAAGGGACAGAAAGATTCATTTTGTTTTGTCAAAGTTTTACTGCAGAATTGAAGAAAATCCCAGGGTTATATTCTAAACTGGATAATTTTAAAAAAGCTCATAGAAAAAGGTAATAACAACTGCTTCTATACTGCGCAAAGAAAATTATACCGGTTGATGTAATCACTAGGAAATGAGCTCAGCTTACAGGCACTTTTATCGTTATTCTTCATCCATGTACTGGTGCATTACTTGGCTTCTTCAAATATCCAAAAATAATAAATAAGTCGTATTTCCTCCACATTCGAACTCCCCCAATTCAAGACAAGAAGACTAAACTTACTCCGTGTCCTGAGCAAATAAAGCCATCTGTACTTCCGGGACAGGAACTGAAGTTAAAAGTATCCATTGAGAGACATCTGTGATCCCAGCATATTCTACTAGAACCACAGGGTGTCCCATCTTCTACATAACCCAGGTCTGCATCTTCCTCCAACTTCACATGACCACCACTACAAATAGAGTAAGAAGGTTTAGTTAATGAAAACATTTTACCAAATAAAAATCATTTTGAACTAAATTCAACCGTATTATTCTATACTAAGATATTATGCCCATCGGTATCTGTACAAGTCTTAGTAGATCACTATGTATGTGTAGGTGACCTTGCCTGGCCATGGAAGTTAAGATGGATCAGTCCATGGAATATCAGGGTTGTAAGGACAACTTCATGGATTGTTAGCTTGCTGCGATGAAAAGCAACACATACAATAAAGCTATGAGCTATACTGTGGGAACATATTTTCACAGAAGATCACCTAGATGGGTAAGATTGGTTGAACATGATACAAGACAAAAAAGACAAATACCTTCGGGAAGGAATAATACAGAAAAAAGATGGTGCAGTTGTATAGAGAAACCAAGAAATCGTAACATTGATAATATGTGTAATGATCATGGAACAGAGCCACACATTCTGGAATAGACCCTTGAAAATATTACCAACAAAGCTGCAGGAATTGATGAAATACCAGTAAAATTGATTAAAATCTTCCAAAATGATGCAATTAAAGTTCTACTTGTAGTTCATAAGCCAACTATGGAAAAGATCATTCTAATATCCAAATTAGACAGTGCTGATGAATATTCAAATTGTTGAACAACTGCATCTATTTCACATATTAGATAGATAATGCTTGATTTTGCTGTCCAGGCTTCAACAAAATATTTAATGAGAATTTTCCGATGCCAAATACCGAAGAGGCAGAGACACCTGAGTTCACATCACTTGAAAGTTCCAAAACATATCTATTTTTTTCTTTGTTGATAGAGATATTTGACTACACCACAAATTGTGAGTAGTTGTTAAAAATATGAGTATACTGTACCAAGTCACCTCTCCATCCTATTGATGAACTTGTAGGATAACCAGAAAGCAATAATTAGAGCAACTACATAGTTTCAAATTGAAAAAGAAGTGTGCCTAGATTGTATATTATCACCTTAATTAATTTATATGCATAATATATTACTAAAAATTCTGGACTAAAAGAAAGAAATAGAAAGTAGACTTTAAAGTGTTAGGAGAAACATTACCTCATATATACTAGTACTTTATAACTTAGATGGTTGAAAATATAGTGAATTTAATTAACTTTAGTTAAAAGAAGAGCAATGAACACAGCTAGTCTACTGCTCAGTATTTGGGGAAGGGAAGGTTAGGCGAGCCCAGTGTAAAAAGTTAGAGGAGGTGAGGAAATAATTAATTATCTATAAAATAATTAATTTTATCTTTTTTAAAATCTAAGATAAAAAATACAATAGCCATAAAATACAGAGATATCTGTTGCCAAAGATTACCTGCAATTGAAAGTTTTTCCCAAATTTTGGAGAGAAATAGATGTGATTTCGCCATCAAGCTCTCCAAGTCTTGGAATATTAGAGGCAATGTTAGAACACAGTAGATATCCACAAAGAACATCTCTAGGGGGAAAAAAATATTAAGCAAGTTGTTATTTTTAAAAAAGCCTTAAAAACATTTTTAACTATAATTTCCTACTCCAAAAAATACTCTAGGCCGGTGTTTCTCAACCTTTGCAACTTGAAGATGTGTGGACTTCAACTTCCAGAATTCCCCAGCTTTGCTGGCTGGGGAATTCTGGGAGTTGAAGTCCACACATCTTCAAGTTGCCAAAGTTGAGAAACGCTGCTCTAGGCTACAGGAGTCTATAGACTTGTGTTCAGAAGTACAATCTTAATGCTATTCATAGCAACTAAACACAACCTGCCATTAATATTAATGGAGTATCAAGATCTGCTGTAAACAAAGTCACAAGATTCTAATCAGCCAATTTAATAATTATTCATTAGAGAAGGAGCACTAGGAGAACAAAGATTCTACAAGAAATGTAGGGAGAATAAGAATCACCATTACATAGATTAGCATGAAAGTTTAAAAGTGAAAAAGAATATTTTTAAAGAAGCTTATGAACCATGATAGAATACAAACACAAATACTATATTATGCAAGCAGAGTGGGCTTAACTTACTCATTCTTGCACTGAATCCAAGTATCTTTGTCTCTGCCACAGCTACCTTTCTCTGTTCCTTCTATATTTAATCTTTCATAGCAATATTTATCAGCTGATGTCACTTCTGCACACAAAATATATTTAAAAAGATAATGATGTGTGGTTGGAGTTAGAAATTCAACATTGTAAATGTAAATATTCATGTTAAAGCCACATATTATATACTCCCAATTATTTTTCTTATAGTCGTATAAAAATAAAATATAAAAAACTGCTGGAGCATAAAAAACACACAAGAATTTGTATCTAAAATGATGCCATCTAACCTAGTCTTTGCCAACCTGATATCTTTATTTGCACTCAACCTAATGTTCCATTATGCCATAGTCAGCATGCCAGAAATACTGAAAGGAAAAGGAAATGAAAGAGAAAATGCTTTATCTAGTTCTATTGAATTTATTTTTTACTCCAGTTTAAAGTGTTTTACAGATTTACCTGATGGCTGAAAGTCTTCTGGCTCCATATATATGAATTATAATAAATTCAGAACATAGATAAATAGGTTCTCCGTTAGGGAAAACTAATGGGAAAAAGAACTGAAGAGGGGGGAATTTCTAATTAGACTAAAAAGAATGGAAGACAGAAAAAACCAACACGCTTAATGAAACTTTGAAAACACCTAGGAGTATAAAGAGGACCAAGTCATAATGAAAGTTTTCCTGGAACTGGAGAATGGAATCAGGAAAAGAATTTGCTGCGGTAGCCAAATGATGCTAAGAACAACAAGGACTTTTAGATAAGATAAATTCCTTAAATTTTCTTTAGATAAGACAGAGAAAAATTCATCAGTTGCTCAGAAAATGGCAAAATGCAATAGATACAAAAGTTAAAGGTTCTCTTCGCACATATGTGCTAGTTGTTCCCAGTTCTAGTAGGCAGTGCTCATCTCCGTTTCAAAGCCAAAGAGCCAGTGCTGTTTGAAGACATCTCCAAGGTCGTGTGGCCGGCATGACTAAACGCCGAAAGCGCACAGAGCAATGTTACCTTCCCACCAAAGATGGTCCCTATTTTTCTACTTGCATTTTGTACGTGCTTTCAAACTGCTAGGTTGGCAGAAGCTGGGATAAGTAACGGGAGGGCACTCCATTACGTGATTCAAACCGTCGAACTGCCAACCTTTCTGATCGATAAGCTCAGCATCTTAGCCACTGAGCCACCGCGTCCTTCATGCAATAGATAAGGATGTGCAAAATTCATCAATTCAGAAATGGAACATTTTTGAGAACTCCAGATTATTCCATTCCTCCCTCTGGATCATTGGATGATTAGGCAGTTTCTGAAAGTAAGTTCTCCAAGCTTTAGTGGTTTGAATTTTCGTAGAAATGGATTACACAGAGTTGTTCTGGATCTCAACTATCTCCAGACCATTTCAATTCAGTGCTTTTTAAGAGAATCTATTTCCAATAACTGCCAAACCACCTCTTGAACAATGAAATCTGGTAAAGTTCTGGAAAGGTACCACATTTTGGGAGGAGGAAGAAACATATAATACGTATACATGGTATACCTAATCAACATTAATACCTAATCAACGAGTTTTCAAAAGAAGCAAAAACACACAATTTCAAGATATTACTCACTATCTCCCCATATGTATTTACACTGTCTGTCTCTTGTTTTGCATCTTCCTCCAAAACAAATGCCCTAAAGAAAAATGTTAGAAAGTAATCACCATATTTTGTAAATATTTGTTCAATAAACAACCATTGCTTATCTATTTTTCTATCTAGGAAGTAAACATATTCAGGCATGTGCTGCCAAAGTAAGTTTGACTGTGTTTAGTGAGATTCAGGATTGCAACTTAACATAAAATTTATTCAGGTTTATAAATTGAAAATTTCAAATGCTTAAAGATTCAAAACAGAATGCCACCAGATCCAGAAAAGTGATTTATTTGATTAATGTATATGATCTTGGTCTCACAACTCTGAGTGGCATACAACAATTTCCTTTCTCTACTTATTGTTACAGAGGAACAGAGATGATACTGAATACATAGGTATTTCTGTGCCGTGTATTTTGCTTAAACATTCTCAAGAATTATGGCTCCAAGTTTTCATTTTCTGCAAAAAAAACAGTGGAACTGAGTACAAATTATTGTAAATTCACAGAACAAGAACTGTAAACAAGAACCTCTAAGGGCTGTAATTGCTGTTACTGATTGGATTTAGGACTGAGTGCTCTCACTTACTAATTCAACGTTGGGCAGCTTCCCAAAATCATAAATACCTAGCACAACATATCTGAATGCAACCTTCTTTCCTGCCAGTAAACTCATTTAGATTTGAACTGATGGTTTTTTAAAAAAATAATTAATAATTACTACCTTCTTAATATATCAAATAGCTTAGAACAGTATCATGCTTCCAAGAGAAATTCAATTACCCTATTTATATTTAGCTGTCTTTTGTTCAATGGATTTAAAGCAATTTTTTAAAAAACAAATCCTGTTCATAGTATTTTTGCAGTCTGTCTGAACTCCCATAATTGTCGCAAAGTCCTTTGATATTTTGAAACTCTCTTTTATCCTAACTAGATTCCCAATATGACACCTAAGAGCAACAACGTGACTGCCAATATATTCTTCAAAACTTGTGTGAACTGAATGCAATACTTTATTTATTATTATTTTAAATTAACAATAACAGATATGTGTTCATATGCTACAAAACATCAGTGCCAAGCAACCATCATTGGGCCAGGCGGCCCTATGGCTTCTGTTTCATAGATCAGAAAATGAAATGAATTGCTCCATCTTGTGGTTGGTGGTTAGTAGGGCCTATGCTGAATATTAAACCCTTGGACAAGATGAAGAAAATAAAACAGCAGAGATTGCATGTTTTTTAATGATAGTTTATATAAACTTGTATGTTGTATGAGGAATTCCTTTAAATCATTTGAAAAAATTATTTCCAATTCTTACTTATATTCAAATACATTTCAGTTTCCGGTTCTTGCAGCCTGTGCTGAGTTGTCTTTATGAGATAAGCTGTGAACAGACGTCTTCTATGTCTTGATTATTTATGTCTATTTTTTCTTCAATTTTCATAACCTGTTACAATGAGGATTGCTAGGTGATCCATCACTGGACTTCTGAAGAATACAATTCAAACACATTGTAATCCTCAGAGGTCCAATGATCTCCATTCACTAAAATCTCACTCTTTGTGTCTGCTATCTCCCTCCTTCCTGATGTGAATTTTGTCACATGCAGTGGTGGGATTCAGCTGGTTCGCACAGGTTCGGTAGAACTGGTAGATAACTTTTTGTGTAGTTCGGCAAACTGGCTGAATAGGGTGCCTCCCCACGCCTGGCCCCACCTTGCCCTTCTCCTCCTAGCCACCACTCGCTTCGCTGCCCAGTCACTCACTCGGCCACCCAGCTGCTCATCCAGGCCAGTGACAAGGAGTCGCAAGGAGGGGAGGGGTGAGGCATGGCCAGGCGTGGCAAGGAGAGGCTGGGCAAGGCGAGGTGCCCCTCGACATGAGTGATGTCGAGTTGGCCCTGCCCACTCAGCCACCCAGACATGCTTACTCAGCCAGTCAGGCCAGAGAACTGGTGGCTAAATTATTTGAATCCACCACTGGTCACATGGTCTATCAGAGGAAGATGTGCAGCCTTTTAGGGGGAACTTCTCCAAGGGAAATTATGTTGCTTACAGTTCCACGACATTTATGATCCTTTAGGCATTCTCACTCCCTGGGCTATTTAACATAGACAGTATATTCCCTTCCCAAGGATGGTTTCTATAGTAAACTGGATCTAGAAAGAGGGTCATTTATGTCTACTGTCCATGAGAGATCTCATTGACTTTGTTGGGATTGCTAAACATCTTGAAGTTTTCTGAGGTTTTAGGTACTGAAAGGAGATGAGCATCCATGGAAAGAATGGAAGAGAAATGCCATCCATGATATTGAGTTTATGCAGATGATGCTAACTTTGAAGCTTAATGAGACTATGAGATCTTATCATCTGAACATCAAGCTCCATGTAGCTGGCAAACATACATTTTCAATGCCAGTCAGGAGTGAAAATATAACCTTTAAAACTGTAACAGTAAATTCTTGGGCTGACATATAGTGAGCCAGTTAAGTCAGAGGCTCTTTCAAATGATTTCTTACCACAACCCTCATATATAGGCTGTACTGCCTCTTCTCACTCCAACTTATCCTTCCTGCCTCCTTCCCACAGCCTTGCATACTGAAAGCAGATGACAAGCTGCAAGATGGTCATCTTTCTATCATTTGGCAGAATGAGCAGGCTTTTGTGTTATTATGGGTTCACAATAATGGTGAGGCATTGTAAGCTTCTGACCGGTTCTATGGCCATCTCAAAAGAGTATTGTTAGCACAATATATATTGTTTTATATATTTAATACTATTTATATTGAAAGAGAAATGCTTATGAATTCCAACATCCCATTTTGGTCGAACTGCTGATTGCTAAGGCTTTGAGAAGAATTTTCCATTTGATCAGAAGCACACAGATTATGACTTCAAAGCCAGAAGCTATTTACTAGAGTTGTACTGCCATCTGGTGGTCATCATTGAAATACATTTTATCTTTCCATTCTAAGCAGAACCAGTTATAAATTTCAACAAGTCCAACTTGTTCAGCTTTTTAATTTTTCTTCATATAGGGATTTTTTAAAGCCATTTTAACCATTAACCATTAAAAATCATTAATGCATCAATTTTGTAAAGCCAACATGCATAATGAGTGCTACATATTTAAGACTGTATCTGTTAGCATAATGTCACACAGCAAATGAAGGGGTTTTTTTTTCTTGGTTACAGAACTTGCTGAAATATATTTTGCATTCTAATTAGCGAAAGAAAAGAGATACAATAATAAACATGTGGAATTGAGCCAAACAATGAACATACAATAGGGTCATGAATAATCAGAGGAACAAACTGTATGCGTTAACTGAAATTTTTTTCTTCAGCAACAGAAAACCAATTGGTGAGGTACATGACCCAATATTTAAACTCAAGTCACATGTTTATTCTTTTCATTGTAAGAAGAAAGTATCAGTCTAGTATTGAAGGCTCCCATTGTACCAATCAATTACAGATAGGACTCTTTGGTGGAAACCATGAATGCAACAACCTTTCAGAATCTCAGCTTGGTTTTAGGATACAATCTGCCTTATATTCTGATAATAAAAATCGAATACATTGTACATACCTGTTCATTATCACATGAATACCCATCTATTTTGTAGAGATTTGGAGAGCACTAAAGATAAAGCAGAATGAATTAAATAATCAACCCTGTGATAACTGTAATATCTAAAATTAATTTTTAAAAGTTTTCCAAATCTTGCTTTTCATTAAATATAAGTAGTCCCCAACTTACAATCATTTATTATTGTAAAAAAGTTACAATGACATTGGGGAAAATGTAACATGACTATTTTTCACATTTACAACTATTGCAGCATCTCCATTGACATATTATCAAAATTCAGACATTTGGCAACTGATTTTATGGTGTTGCAGTGTCCCAGGTTCATGTGATCAATTTTTGCAACCTTCTCACAAGCAAAGTCAATGGGAAAGCCAGATTCATTTAACAACCATGTTACTAGCTTAACAACTGCATCAATTCACTTAACAACCAAGGTTAAGAAAAATCATAAAATGGGGCAAAATTCACTTAACGAATGTCTTACTTGACAACAGAAACTTTGAGCTCAATTGATGTTGTAGGTTGAGGACTACCTGTAAAAAGTCTCCAAAAATTATGTTTTCCATTTTTTTAATGAGCTTTACCTGACTAGAGTCCCCTTTGCATGTCTCTGGAATGTCACAATCATTTACAGCTTCTCTGCACACCACACCTTTAAGTTCAAACTGAAATATAAAAAGTAACATTTGGAGACATTTACCATATATATTTACAATTGTTTGAATACATATACATATACATATACATATACATATACATATACATATACATATACATATACATATACACATACATATACATATACACATACACATACACATACACATACACATACACATATATATAAGTAATGTTTTTACTTCTAGTTTACTGGAGATTCTCAATACCACTCCCATAATTAAAGATATGATTCTCAAATGTTCAGTTTAAGATTTTCAGTCTTTAAAAAAAAATCAATTTATTGGTTGATAATCTGTAACAACAAGATCAGCACACAATGCTGACATTGTTTTTTGTATCAACAATCATATGCTTGGAATATCTTCATGGTTCCAGAGTTCAGTTCTTGTGTAATTAAATTGTATAATCATAAAGAAACGTATTTCACCAGAATCATAAAAACAGCCAGTGTACTCTACTTTATAGTGTAGTGATTAAGGTATTAGACTGCAACATGCATAGAAATAAAAAGTAAAAAAAAACCTTGATTGCCCTTTGATATTTTGTATGGCAGAGTTTATATATTTTGGCATTGTACTGAATGAGACTATTTTTAAATCATTTCATTATCTCACTTTTTCGTTTTTGTTGCCATGTATTTTGAGAGCCAGGAAAGTCAGCAGTTGCAGTCGTTTAGTTTACACTATGATGCTAACCAGGTGCACCATGAGGAGGCAACTAGTTTCATACCACAACTGGAAGATTCAAATCCAGGAAGCCCCCACTGGCACTTGAACAGCACCTGCCCAACAACTTTTAACATTGATTCCCAATGGAAAGCCAAAATGGATCTCTGTACACCCAGACAAAGGAAGATATATAAATGACCTCACCCCCAAAAATGCCAATGTACAATCCTGAATAGGATTCCTACCTCACATGGGGTCTACAAGGACTCTCTGTGTGAATGGGGCATAGTGCAACTTCCATGTCAAACTGTAGATCACATCATGACCAGCTAAGCTGAGGGCATATAACAGTTCAGTATCTGATTTTTTCTTTCATATAAACAATGTTGCGCTTCAATGGTTAGATGCCCTAGACGTTGGTATTTGAATATAAATCTTTTCAACATTTATATTTTATTGTATTTAATTAATCTGTATCCATAATGGCAAACCTACGGCACATGTGCCACAAGTGGCAGGCAGAGCCCTCTCTGCAGGCACGTGAGCTGTCACCCCAGCTCAGCTCCACCATGCATGTCTGCACACCTCCTGCCAGCCAGCTAATTTTTGGGTTTGGTTTGGTTTGGTTTATTGGATTTATAAGCCGCTCTTCTCCCAAGGACTCAGGGCGGCGTACAACATTAAAAGAAACACCTATTACAATTTAAAAAAAAAATATGAAATAGAATATCCAAAACAAACCCAATTAAGATTAACAGTAACATTTTTTAAAAACAAATTTCATTAAAATTAACAATAATAAATAATTTATTTTGTTTTGTTCAGGCCAGGCTGGCTTGATGGAAAAGCCAGCTTTTTAGGGCACATCGAAAGGACCGGAGGTCGGGGATTATACGAAGCTCCGGGGGCAGCTCATTCCAGAGGGAAGGCGCTCCCACAGAGAAGGCTCTTCCCCTGGGGGTTGCTAGCTGACACTGGCCGACGGCACCCTGAGGAGGCCAACTCTGTGGGATCGCACTGGACGGTGGGAAGCTACCAGTGGGAGTAGGTGGTCTCGCAGGTACGCAGGTAAAGATTTAAAATGTTCCAAAAATTGGACTATTATAACCCTGGTTTAATTAAAAGGGAACTGGTTTGCCTCTTTCAACCAGAATTCCAGGAAGCAGAAATTAAGGTAGAAAAAAAATAGCATCAGAATTGTATTGCAGATTGTTCTGACCCCCCTCGTCCCACACCAA